ACAGCCGGGCAGCCGAGGTGCTGAGGGCCAGGGTTTGGGGGTGGGATGGCGGGGGTAGGGGAACGGTTGGGCTGGGGGAGCTTAAAAGTCTTTTCCAACCAAAGTAATTCTATGATTCTATGACTCTATTCTCCCGTCAGGGAGTTGCAGGGAGCGATAAGGGCTCCCCTCAGCCTCCTCCAGGCTAAACAACCCCATCCCATATTAATAACCTAATATCCATAGAGTCAGTCAAAACCCTAAACCACTTCATGTGCAAAAATACGGCTTTTTTACATTTAATTTGATGGGCAATATCTGGGTTCCCCCAGCCCTGTAACATTTTCAGTACGTGTTGATTTACGTTTCTGTTCCAGCAGGAAATCGGCTCAGGTCCCAGGGTTGTTGAGCCAAAATGTAAGGGCTGCAGAAGTCAAGACTCTTAGCGGAATCCACAAGGAAACAATCGGATTTTATATCGGATTGATCGGGGCCTCTGGGTACTTCTGCAGTCAAATAACAAAAATCATAATAACCAGAGCTCAGGGATACTGTATAGTCATTGATGCATAAATACACGGTTTTTTCCCCTTGCATCTTTCCGTCCGATTGGCTGAAGGGGGTGATTTACATAATCGCCCTGATTTTATTTCTCAGTAATCATACAATATGCAAACCCTTTAACTTGATAGCTTTTATTACTCAATCAGGGTACAACGATTTGCATAATCACGGCGCTTTGATGGTTGTTAGACTCATTCGCCGTGATAGAAATGATAGCTTCGTGCTTCTTGTGGTGGACTGGTGAGACCCCACCTCGATTCCTTGCCCTGCCACAGACTTCTGGTACGATCCGGGTAAATTCTTCAGAGTTTAGCACTATTATATCTCCGCTCTTCAGCCCTGGGTGAAGCTCCGCTCACCAGCAAGAGTGAGATGGTCTGCTCCTTCGGCAGGGAATCGAGCATCGGGGCTGCACGACCAACAGGCGCTCAGGCACCGTGCAAAGTAGCCACAAAGAAACCCAGCTTCTTCTGGACTTAACCCACACCTCAGCTTCTTCTGGGCTTAACCCACACCTCACCTTCTTCTGGGCTTAACCCACACCTCACCTTCTTCTGGGCTTAACCCACACCTCACCTTCTTCTGGGCTTAACCCACACCTCACCTTCTTCTGGGCTTAACCCACACCTCAGCTTCTTCTGGACTTAACCCACACCTCACCTTCTTCTGGGCTTAACCCACACCTCACCTTCTTCTGGTCTTCAGCTTTCCTTTCCGGAGCACTTGCTGGAGTAGAGTCGATGACGTGGTATTATGCATCTAAATAATCATTACTATGATATTACATTATTTTTTAACAGCTGGAACTGGAAGTAAGAGAAAACACCCCATCATCAGAGCCATAGCACGTTTTGTTGCTAACTTACCCCCCAAAATTACTAATATGAAAAAAGGGAGATAGACTAGAGAACAAAAATCAAACACATCCATCAGAGTTTGGTCATCGGGTCAAAAGGATTTGTCTTTTCAGTCTCAAAAAAAACTAATAGTCTCAATTCAAGGAAGAGACTAAAACATATCTTGCACTTCCAGTGAACTCAATATGATCTAATCATATGCTGAAGTGTTCTGTTACATGAAAACTCAAAATATTTCCAAATGTTGGCTCTGATTCTGCAAACATGCATGCGATTAACTTCATGTACGTCAGCGGTTAGCGGCACTGCTCGAGTGGACTGGCAGTGTGAACACACTTGCAAGCTCAGGAATTCCAACATAACTTCTTTATTTCTCATCTAGATTTTTAAATTTGGTATAACTGCAAACCGTCTAAAAACTATCAGCTTAACGCTTTAAAACGGAGCCATTTCTAGTTACCCAGGCTGCCCCGGAGTTTGCAAAAAGCTTTTTTTTAATGATTCAAACCAGCTTTTTCTGCCTGTCTATCAATAATAAAAAAGGCTGATCTTGATTTTTACCAAATTCCACACACAGAGAGAAAGTCAATATTGGCCTGAAAAGATTTCATCCCGAAGGTCATTCCTACTTTTTTGCAAAGTTGTGAGCGCTGGCGTATCATGGTCTCACAAATGAAATTGCCTCTTGTTCTTGGGCATCACTTGGGGTATTACAGCAGTAATTCTATAATTAAATACAGATAAATACGAGGGGTCACTAACAGGCACGTCCAATAACCGCCATCATCAAGTAGCATTTCCTGGGCTACCTCCTTACGGTATCCAACCTATAAATAAATACTAACCTCAGTGAAGAGTTAATGTTTAGAATTATGGCAGTGAAAAAAAAAAATGAGGTTTTTAAAATAAGTATACAAGTTATGGCTTAGTATTTTTACCCATGATTAAGATGTATTTCCAAAGAGCAGCTGCTCTCAAGCTTACCTAAACTTGACGTGATTTTCCCCTTTGTAAAATCCATCATGGCAACTTAACAGCCACACGAGCCTTGTCTCTGAATCATCGCGTTTCGCGGTTGAAGGGGAAACCAGACAAAGTTGCTTGCATTAGAAGGAAAGCTTTTTTCTTTTTTCGTCATTAAGGTGTTATGTTTCATTGCAATAAATTCCTGTGGTGTCATCTGCAGAGTGCGGTCAATCACCATAAAGGGGAGTTTTAAACCACCTTAACAGATGTCAAAAGATTAAACTTCAGCCTGGTGAAGTATTGTGAAGGCCTTGGTATTTTTTATTCTGTTTATTGTTCAATGTCGTCAGATGGAGCATAGCTCCTTGGGTCTAACTATCCCTTACAGCTAACGAGGCCCGAGCTTGTCGCATGCGAGTTTTCAGGATTACTTTCGTTTATTCCTGATGAGCAAATACCAGGTCAAAGGAAGTCTTCTCAGGACTTCAGTCCCTACCTCCTTTGCCTCACTTGCCACCACCTTCTGAGTTTATCTTCTGAAACAGCTTTGAGAGTTTCCTCCTTTAGATGTTTTACATACCCAGATACACACGTCAGTAAGAATATTTCTGAGACACGGGAAAGGCTGGAAATTGGCCTGACCAATCCCAAGACAAAAGTAAAGGAATACATTTGTTTCCTGGCAACTCTTTTACCCTGATTTGACTTCTGTAACTGCCAGCGGAAAAGACCTTGAACAGGAACATGGCATCAGCCTCTCCATTTTCGGAGCTTCATGCCAAGTGGTTGCTAATGAATGTGTGTGTCTAGACGAGCTTTGCTGGCAGCCTAGTCATACCTTGCGAGCTGAAGATGAGCAAACTTTCAATATTCTCTCTCAGAGTCCAGAAGGAAGCTTGCGACATGGTGGTTTTACCTTAACGGGGCTCTGCACGGACACAAACCATTGCGCTATGTGGAATGGGGAATCGAATCCAGGAGTTGAGTCCTTCCACCTGCCTACCATGTGCCAACCCCTACCATGAGCAACTCCATTGACTGAAAAATTCTGGGCAGGTGAAAAATATAGGCTCTGCAGCTCAGTTATGGGCTATAAATAAGTCCCATAGCTACATTTCGCAGTTAAACTAAAGTCTTTGGCATCTCTTAGTCATCACACCTACCGTGCTGCCGAACGGCTGCAAAGGTTAATGATGCGTCCTACAGACGTCACGCATCTCTCATAAGCACAAATTGAATATTCAGCTGATTTTAAGGCCCAGTTGTTTGTTTTAACCACCAAAGCTGGGAATCCAAGAAGGCTTTTGCCGTCGTTTAACCCGGCTGGCAACTCAGCACCACGGAGCCGCTCACTCACTCCCCCCTCCCTCAGTGGGATGGGGGAGAGAATGGGGAAGAAAAAGGTTAGAGCCGAGGGCTGAGATAGAGACAGTTTAATAAGAGAAAATAATAATAATA